CCCACCACCACCATTGCCTGGTCCTCCCCCCACTCAAGAACCCTCAAGATCACTTAATGATTGCAACCAGCAGTGTGGGATTATGGTTGTAGATCCAAGGGATCATGTGACTCCTCACCTAACCGCTGCTTCACTGAACAACTGAAATTCCAGTCCCGACTGTGGTCATAAGTGGAGGATATCTCTCCTACAGATGTAGTGTCTCCATCACTGTCTCGGGTGTACTGGGGACCCTACCCTGGGCAGAGGGTGGGACTGGAAGACCTTCAAGGTCCCTTCCAAGGCTGAGATTTTGTGATTCTCTACCATTCTCAAAAGGAAATATTATTCTCGATTTCTTTTTTATTCTAACAGCAGATAAAAGATTGTAACCAAAGATTTATCTGCAATTCAACACATAATAGAAAATCAACACAAGGCAGCAGTCACCAGAAAGCATGGAGCCTGGGAAACTCTTGGATCCCCCATCAGACACAATCAGCACTCCGGAAAACCACAAAAAACTCCATGAATGCTCAGAATGTGGGAAATCCTTTTCTCGCAGATCAGTGCTTTTTACTCACAAGAAGATCCATGTGGGAAGTGGATCCAGTCAAGGTTTGGAGGGTGAGAAATCCTCTGGAACAGACACCAAAGGTCTCAGAAATTCCCCCAGACTAAAACCCTATAGATGTATAAAATGTGACTTATGCTTTGGTCAAAAGTCACACCTTCTTAGCCATCAGAAAATCCACACGGGAGAGAAACCCTATCAGTGTCTGGAATGTGGGAAATTTTTTTGTCGGAAATCCACCCTCAGAAACCACGAGAGAATTCACACAGGGGAGAAGCCTTACAAATGTTGGGAATGTGGAAAGAGCTTTTCTCAGAACGCAACTCTTTGGTCCCATGAGAAGGTTCATGCAGGAATAAAATCGTACAAATGCTTTGAGTGTGGGAAATGTTTCACCCGGCGTTCAATTCTTTGGAGTCATGAGAAAACGCACAGAGGGGAGAAAAAGGAAAAGTGCCTGGAATGCGGTAAATGTTTTTACCAGAAATCACACCTGTTGCGACATCAGAGACTTCACACCGGAGACAGACCTTATGAATGCCCAGACTGTGAGAAACGATTTATATATTCTTCTGAACTTCGGAGACACGAGGAGAGGCACAAAGGTGAGTTACGCTATAAATGTGGGGAGTGTGGGAAAAGTTTTAGTTTCCTTGGAGGGCTTCAGATTCATCAGAGAATCCACACAGGGGAAAAACCATACAAATGTGGGGAGTGTGGGAAATGTTTTTCACAAAAACACCACCTTGGAAGGCATGAGAGGGTCCACACAGGAGAGAAGCCGTACAGATGCGTAGAATGTGGAAAATGTTTTGCTCATCAGGGAGACCTTTTGACACATCATAAAACCCACACAGGGGAGAAACCATATCAATGCATCGAATGTGGACAATTTTATTCTACCACATCACACCTTAGAAGTCATGTAAAAACTCACACAGGGGAAAAAAATTACAAATGTTTAGACTGTGGGAGAACATTTGCTCATGCGTGTTCCCTCAGAGGCCACAACCGAATCCATACAGGAGAAAAGCCCTATAAATGCTCGGAGTGCGATAAATGTTTTTCTCAGAAAGATACTCTTGTGAAACATCAGCGAACCCACACTGGAGAGAAACCATACAAATGTCTGCAGTGTGGGAAATGTTTTG